ATCATGGAAATGTCAAGTATGATATGATCTACAAATTCGATGTACAAATGACAAAGTCCAAGTTTTGGTAATGATCTTTTTTTTATTATTATTTCTCTCAATCTCATGAGAAAAACATGTGATTTCGGAAAAAAATTCAAACGATCTTTAAATCGTCCTGAACCTTTGCCTATCTTCAATGTTTTATGCAATGGTGGGTCATTTGATTATGAATCACATCATTAAATAGCGATCTCGAATTCAAGTTAATTTAATTGTTCATTTTCCTTAGTAAAAGACGATCAAACAATTCCCCATCATGATCTTTTGAAAGATTTAGGAGTCAAACAATAAACCTATTGATACCAAGAATACAAAATAAAAGCACTTCAAATTATTGATAATCGTCAGAGATGTCCAGTCGCATATTTTCCAAATTGTCTTATTAATGGTTAAGGGCAGCTTTTCTTTTACTTGTAATTTTTTTCCCATCAAAATCAATAGAGTTTGTTTCACTTTTGCAATCGAGTTAAAGGCTTGATTGCTGGAGTAAAATTTGATTTGACCCTTCACTAGGTTTAAGAGTAATTTGTTGTATTTATCAATTTTCATAATCATCCCAAATAGTAAAAAAAGATAGCCCTTGTAAGCTTCACCCCAAACAATACAAAAAGGCATCGTGCAAGATTCAACCCAGGTAAAAAGTAAAAACCAGTAAGAATGTACAAAAACAAACTATGCAATAAATACTCTTCTAAATTCGTATATCCTTTTGCCACAATTTTACAAGTGCCAATTTTTTCCTCTTTGAAATGCATTACATCATAGTTCAATATCCTAAAAGTACTCGAAATCAACGTAAGAACTATCAGTCGAGCTATTCTTGTTCCTATCATTTCCAATCTCTGCCATCTTCTTGTCTGACTTGGCAGAGTCTTTACTAGCAAACTGTGAATAGTCTACAGATTCAGGTATACAAGGAGGCAAGGCACTTCTCACTAATGCCCAGTTCACACCCTCAAAGAACGGGTGCTGTTTTATTTCTGTAGCGCCCCTCTTATATGCGATTCTCTTATGCGGTTCCTTCACAAGGAGTCCTCTTATAAGATCCCGTGCCATGGAACTTACCTGAGGAGTTTCCGGGAATCTTAACGGTTGCCCAACTACATTAAACAGAGTAGCACGATTTCCAGAACCCTTGAATGGTGTTGTTCCATGCAAGAGCTCGTACATGAAAATGCCAAATGTCCACCAATCCACTGCACTACCATGACCCTCTCCCCGAATGATCTCAGGGGCTAGATATTCGTAGGTCCCAACAAAGGACATGGAATGCACGTTAGTTGGCTCTGCCATTAGTTCAGGAAGGGAGTTCATGTTGTTATTGAGACCGAAATCAGATTTAGATTTGCGATTCTTTTTGGTAGGAAGAAGGCGTGGGAAAAAAGAGGATGGCTGAATACAACCACGCACGGCATTTTCATCATCTAAGATACCGGCAGCAGTATCACTCAGATTTCCAGGATGTACCGATGAAGACTTAACAAGTGTCGGACAGACAGAGCAACGAAGAGATAGGTCAAAGTCAGATAGCATGATATGACCCTCTTCTCTCACTAGAACATTTTCTGGCTTTAGATCCCTGTACACGATTCCAAGCATATGAAGATATTCAAGTGCCAACAAGACCTCTGATGCATAAAACCTGCAAAACATATGTTAATAAACAAAAAGTCAAATTTACTTCACTAATGCTATGTCCTCATCTCTGCATAGGAAATTAGATCTGGAATCACGGTAAATAACTCAAATGGGATAAGCACAGCCTGCCATTGACTATGGAGATTAACAGCTCAAACCGCTACAACAAGCTAGATGATACTCAAAGAATTTGTGTCTCTGCTAAGTCGTAGCACAAACCAGATTGCTATTCTGTGTCCAAATTTATGAGTAATCTAGGTTAATTTGAAGATTTTTGGTAGAAAGTTTAACTACCTTTAATTGACAGCAGAGATATTGCTTTCTATGTCCCTCTTTTTCTTCACGGTCATTTTTCATCCGAAACTTACTTGTTAGAAACTGAAGATGTAGCACTTTTAATGCATGAGAAAAGATTGTCTCTTACAGTGACAACTAAGGTAAGAAGAAAAAGATCTTGCTGCACCAAGGAGTACATATAAGCTGTTGCTACATTTCAGTGTTCTCAGGTCACCAGCTGCTTTTACCGTGTTTCTCAGGCTTGTCATATCTTATTTCTCCTGTTGTAACAGATACTCTGGGCAACTTAAGAAGCCATGGTGCATATGGGTTTCTTTTGGGAAGGGACATTATTAGTTTTTCACCACCAAGGGAGGCAATGTGATACATCATATCTTTATACATGCAAGAGATGAGTTAATGGCCAGATCAGGCAAATAAGGAGTGGTTAACAAAGATGCCAAAAATAGTAGATGGACTTGTTTATATAACCTAAATATCTTGGAAGAATGCATTTCATGATAGGTAGGTTACCTTAGTAAAACATCAAGGACATACATTAGATCAAGCAACCCACTCGACCCCCTCCCCTATGCATGCACATGCAAGAAAACAGTGTCAACTTATATAGTTGCTAGGGCACACAAAGGAGGAGTTTCTTCAGCACAAATAGGCAGTGATCCTCTGATACACAAATCTTTAAAAGGATTAAAATTAGCATCAACGTATTTCGAACTCTCCTAGTTTAGAATGTCACTGAGGCCATGATAATGTTATACTAAGGTTCTTGTGAAATTTTGAGTTTTAAAACTTGTCAGCGTTTATATTTATTAATATGCAAATGAAGAAAGTTATAAGCACAATCACATGGAGAGAAAGGGATATATAAAGATAAAAAACGTGTAGGGACTGACCGAGCAGCTTCCTCTGTAAAATGCTTGTTGGGTTGCTTTTGCCGAAGAGTATGAAGATTACCTCCACTACAGAACTCCATCACCAAGCAATAAAATTTTTCAGTCTCAAAGTAAGAGTATAAAGTAGGTAAGAATGGGTGGTCAAGAAGACCAAGAATCTCTCTTTCAGTTTGAGCTCGAAGTAGCTTATTTCTACTTGCAAGAGAACCTTTATCCATGACTTTCATGGCAAAGAAAGCATTAGTTCCTCTTAGTTCAACAAGATAGACACTTCCAATGTCTCCATAACCAAGCCGCTTCAAGAGCCGAAAATTGCTAAGACTAAGTGGAGAATCTCTTGAAGAAGAAGAGTTAATGGCATCCCACCGAACATCGCCACCAGTGTGGGGCCTGAGGGGTATACATGAACTGTCCATACTGTTGCTACGGTTGCTGTTGACACTCCCCCGACTGTGATTGGTGCTTGATTCGCTACTCACAGCATTGCCAGTACTTGAGTTTGGTGATATTGCCAGTGGTCCACTCAGGGTTGTGGCAGTCGGATGTGGACCTCTATTTGGGCTAGGCAATGGGCATGGAATTCCTCCAGTCATTGTCATTCCATCAGTTTTTGGGGAATCAACTGATGCCATATGAGTGGAAGTCAAATTAATTTGGGAATTTCGATCTATAATTAAAGGTTCACATGGTGAAACACGACCTGGGTTGGCACTCCTTTTCGTCACTCGGCACGACTTCTTCAAGTCTTGGCATTGATAGGAAGTTGATACACTGGTACTTTTGGCAGCTAGGTCCATCTTGTCAGGCTTACATGCCTGCTCCAATGGCATGCTACTCATCTGTATTTCAGGACATACAACACTCTTCTTTTAACAGTTCAAATACTGTGGAATATAAGAATCAAATGCAAAAATTGGAGAATGGAAACCAAAATCTACTTTAGAACCATTGCAGAAATTTGTGATAGCTACGCATTGACCACACTAGTTCACTGGTTTCACATTGAAAATCAGAAAATCATTAATCGAGTGAAATTGCCAAAAGAACAAAACAGAACGGGAGTTTCGAATTTTCTTCTCAATGTAGTGATAAAGGCCTTATTCACCATGTAAGAATGCACAAATGGGTTTACTACTTTCTGTCTTAATCTTTTGATTCTCACAATACACCACTAAAGGTAACGAAATCCTCTGGATTTTAATCCTACCTTGTTGAGCCTGACTTTTGATCTATAGTTTATATGAAGCTCATATTTATAAACTGCTGCTCGAATAGTATCGTAACAGCGACACATTCACGACAAAAAGACACGAGAAACATCAAAGAAAATAGGAATACCCGACCTAAAATATCCCCTGTAAGCACTAAGATACTCGCAATTATAATGCTGGCTCTTAATTACAGAATAATTCTTCAAAAGAAAACAGACCCATAAATTCAAAATAAAACACATTCCCTGTTACTAATCCATATGATTAAGATCTTGCATTCCAGTGGCACTTGAATTGGAAAAGAAAGCAAAGGTAATGCTGACCTCGTCCAAGTCACCGCCTGTGGGATTCAGTGGCATTGCTTGGGTCCGAAACAAGACTATTAACAAAAATCTGCAAGAAACATCATGCAGAAAATGCAAAAACATCATCTTTCTCGTTGATTACCAACCAACAAATTTTCCAAATATCAAATAT